ATTGTTTGAGCTCAGGAGTTTGAGACCAGCCTGAGCAAGAGCGAGACCCCATCTCTACTAAAAATAGAAAGAAATTAATTGGACAACTAAAAATATAGAAAAAATTAGCCGGGCATGGTGTCGCATGCCTGTAGTCCCAGCTACTCGGGAGGCTGAGGCAGGGGGATCGCTTGAGCCCAGGAGTTTGAGGTTGCTGTGAGCTAGGCTGACACCACGGCACGCTAGCCTGGGCAACACAGCGAGACTCTGTCTCAAAAAAAAAAAAAAAAAAGAAATGAGACACTCCTGCGGAGGCAAGTGCCAGTGGCATGTAAAATGAAGACTTACAGGAGAGGCACACACTGCTCTGTGTTTGGATCCTAATATATTAACAACAGTAATTCAGGAGGTAGACGGGAGAGGTAACTAGGCTGGAGTATGCAGAGGCAGCTTACTGCAGGAGGAGGGGCATAAGCCGGGCTGTACTGAAGGAAATGGACTTATTCCTCCACTAACTAAGCAGCCTTGGGCAACTCACTTCACTAATCATGGCCTCAGTTTCATCTTCTCAAAAAAAAGAATTCCAGTATTTCTCCTGCATAATTTTATGGGGTAGATTTGAGAATCAACTTTAAAAATGGATAGAAGACTACACTGAAAACTTTAAAAGTACTGTGTCCCTGGGGTAAGAACCACCAAATGTGCTGACCAGAAGAACTTTCACAGCTTATTCTTTCATTTTGTAAATAGAGAAACTGAGGCTCAGAGTCTGCTCTCCCTACCTGTGGGAGCTCTGGGTCCCATATCCTTTAGTCTCCTTAAGGATCGTCTTTATCAGTCATCTCTGTTCACTCTTAATAAGTGTCACATTAGTTGTGAGCTTACAGTGTTCCATAAGACAGTGTGAGAAAGTGCTTAGTACAGTGCCTGGCACGTAGTTAAGTACTCAAATGGTAACTTATTATTGTAATAATAAATTTCAAAATCCTTAACATAGCTTACAAACCCTTAATGGCATAGTCCGTGTTTACCTCTCCAGCCTTATCGTTTATCCACTCTCATAAGCACTGTGCAAAGCTTCTTTTATTTCCAGGAATAAATATTAATACCATTACAAGCCTTCTTTCTTGTGTGTAGGTTCTTCCTGTGTAGGAAGCCTTCCTGGATTGCTGTTGGATTCTGAAGCCCCCTTTCCTATGTTCCTACAGCCCCATATGCCCAGTTTTATCATAGAAACTACATGCTGCATTAAAATGTTAATTTTAGTGTTTTACTCCCCAACTGGACTGTAAATCCCTGGAGGACAGGATATGTTTCTATGTGTCTAGCCCAGGGTAAATGTACACTAAATAGGTGCAGAAGGAAAAAGCAAAGGAAAATGGTTGGCACAAGGTTACAAGTGTTACTATTGTCATCAAAGACTTGGTAATTGGGTCCATAGTATTGGGGTGGGGTTGGAAATGGGAAGGTCCTGGGCTCCTGGAGTGACCTGTGAGGTTGCAAAGGTGGTAAGAAGGGGGCCGTTTTAGAGGCTGAGATTGCCTGGCTTTGTTTCCTCTCCAGGGAAGTTCCAGATGCAGGTCTTACCCCAGTGTGGCCATGCAGTCCATGAAGATGCGCCTGACAAGGTGAGTCTGGTGCTCAGTGACTATAAAAGGACAGCTGTGAGAGTAACCTTGGATGTCACAGAAGATTAGGACAAGCCTCTGAGTCTCAGCCTGCATTGCCTACAGTAGCAGCTGCTGTGCAGCTTGTGCAGATACAGTTTCACCAGCTCCCCATCCCTCTCCCTGGCAGCTGTTTATGGTCTCAGTTTTGTGGATATGGACTGAGGGGCTTCCGGCGTCCTGTTTCATTCCAGGGCCCTATGAGTAAGATCTTAAGCTCCATTTCTCCAGTACCCCCAAAAGCCAGGTAGAAGAAGAGATGGTTGGGGTAGAAACTGCTCCCTACTACAGTCATAGTTAGGAATTAATATGGGCTCCTCCTGTGGGAAAAAGGTCCTTGGTAATTCAAAGAAGATAAATAAGCCCTTCACATCATTCCTCTTGAACTCTCTGGAGCCATCTCTGGAAGGATGGTGGGGATGAGTCTCCCAGCCCTACCAGGGCCCAAGTCCTTTTGATTTCAAGCTCCCTAGACCTATGGGACTCATGAAGGCATCACAGAGCCTAACTTTCCAACAGAAACCCACAGGACTTCCAAGGCTAAGCCCCATCACTAACCTTCACATGGCCTGGAATATCTATCCCTTCTCCAGGTAGCTGAAGCCGTTGCCACTTTCCTGATCCGGCACAGGTTTGCAGAGCCCATCGGTGGATTCCAGTGGTAAGGAAGCATAAGGGTTTAAGGACCCTGGCGGTGCTGGCCAATTCCCAACAAACATATTTGTAGGGTTGTAAATGTCTCTGCCTTGCCCCTGCTTGATCACCACGCCTCTCTTCCTCCTCTTCAACAAAGAGCGTGGAGTGTCTATTCTACAAAGTCATGGTTGGTTATTTCTGTGTGCTCTAATCCAGTGGTTGTTGCTGAGGCTGCAGTTAAATCGTGCCTAGTCTCCTGCCTCCCACTGCAATGTCCATTTCTTCTTCAGGTGCCCCTTCTCTGAAGCTAGGAGGGGAATCAGTCCTTATCCAGACACATTAGAGCTAAGTCCTCTTTGCCTCCCGCCCTGCTGCTGAGGAAAGCTAGGCAGGCCATGTCGGTCATGTAGAAATCTAGAGCAGGGTTTTTAGCCTCAGCACTATTGACATTTTGGGGCAGGCAGTTCTTTGTTGTGAGGGCTCTCTCCTGTGCATTGTAGGGTGTTTAGCACTGTCCCTGGCCTCTCTCCACTAGACACCAATAACACCTCCCACACATAGTACTGATAGCCAAAAATGTCTCCAGATTTTACCGGTCTTAAGGGAGGCAAAATTGCCCCCATTTGAGAACCACTGGTCTAGAGGATGAAGGAGGATATTCTTATCTGATTGGGGAAACACAGCTGGGCTCTGTGTTGTAGAGGAAGAAGAGAGGTGTGTTGACAAACCAGGTGGTCCTGGCCCACCTTAAAGAGCTCCTGCAGAAGGCCCTTGATCCTCAGAGAGGATCTTCATCAGACAGGCCTGATGAAGAGTCGCTCCTGCCGCTGCAAAGTCTCATCTCTGATCTCAGTGAGAGTTCGGGGGGTGGGGGGACTTGTTCCCCACCCTCAGAAAGTTTGAAGAAGAAATGTTGAAGAAATGACTTCTGCCTTAGAAAACTGAATGCCAGGCCCTGGGAGATGAGAGTGACAGGGCAGGGTAGGCATTGGAGATGATGACAGGAGCCTGGTACAGTGAGCCACAGAACCACCGAACCACCCCTGTAGCAACTAACCATTGATGGATCCCAGGAATCAACAATAAAGACTTAATTTCTCTTAATAAAATGTTTGATTGGGGCCCCTGGACCATTTGGAGCCTTAATGAGCAGTACACTGTGAGCAGACCCTGTGTTTAGCCCTAGATGGGGCTGTGAGGAGATGGGACAGATCTGCAAGGGTCTTGGTGGTTATTAGGAGGGCTTCCTGGAGGAGACGGGTTAAGCAGAGGACAGCTAATAATAGTTACATTTGTTTTTTTCTTCTCTTTCTATTCTTCACAGTGTGTTTCCTGGCTGTTAGTGACCTGTTGTCCACCCCTTCCTCATCATTGAGCTCTGTTATAAACACATTGCACCAGAGGCCACTGTGATGCCGCTGTCTCTTCCTCCCCATCCTGCCCGGCTATGTGACACTGGCTTCCTGTAGACGGGCATCCCCAGATGTACAAACCCTTTCATGTATTCCTGCCAAAAGCATTGTTTCCCAGGGCCCTTGACCAACATCGGCTTCCCCAGTCCAGGGCTCTCCAGCTCCTACCCCGTCCCTGTACAGGGGTAGCTCCTGCCTGTTCTCCTTGCCTTGCCTAGGGTGAAGCTTCCATTGCTGCCACCCTGGACCCCTATTCCTGGCATCAGGCAATGCACCTGGGTCCAAATGTCTCCACAGGCTCAGGGACCTCCATTCCTTGAGATTGTTCTTGTCATAGTCCTTCCCTGCCTCTTGGGATGGACAATGTACAGGGTGGTCCTTATTTTTCCTTTTCAAATAAAACACCGGTCAGGTACCATTTTATTCCAGTCTTATTCTTCCAGGTTTGGAAGACCCATAGAGGCCAGGATCCCATCCTTAGGTACAGAGGGTGGTGGTGGATAGCATCACAAGAAACCAGCCTGAAAATCAGGTCCAGCCAGTCCAAGCACATGGTCTCCCATCTGGGGGAGCCCACCGTCCCACTCCCACATGTCTGGGCACCTGCCCTGGGCTGAGGCCAGGCTGCTCCAGGGGCCTCTTGGGCTCTCACCTGCCACAGAGCAACCAGGTTAAATACAGCCCATGCACAAAGCTGCAGGCTAAAGCCTGTGGAATTGTTTTTAGTAATTAGATGTAACCATTTTCATAACTGGTTCCTGGAGGTGTGCAGTGCCCGCTTGCCTCTGCAGACCCACAGCTTCTCTTCGCCACTTGTGGTTTCCACATCACTCTGCATAGAAACGTTGCAGTCCAGCATCCTCACTCTTTGCCTTCTTCCAGCTGCCTCATCACAGCACTGCGGCCTCCCCTGCTGCCCAGGCACGCCATTCCCAAGGGCAGGGAGGGCCAGTCTCCTGAAGCCCATCTTCTCTGTGACTGTCTTAGGTGATGCATAGCCCCCTCCACCTCTCCACCCAACAACTTCCTTTCCCTGTCCTGCTGCACGGTCCAGAGTCTAGGGCCTACTTTGTTTCTTTGTTATTTATGACCTTGTTTAAAGAAAATAAATATGTCCCAACCTTTATTGGTCTGGTCTTTATGTGGAGTGGTCATTTCTACTGATCTGGGGGCAGGGGACAGTTCATTTGGACTTAGTTGTCATAGAACTCCAGAAGCCCATTTCTCTATAGCCCATCAGTATCTTATGTCCTGCCTGCTCCTCAAACCCAGAATACCCAGTGGGGTGGACAGAACCGCCTCCACTGCAGCCAAGGAGACCTGGATTCCAGTCCTATCTCCCAGTTGTTTGCTGTGTCGACTTCAGCCCAGAACAGTGTGTGCCCTGTCCACGTGACCTCAGTCACTCATAGCTTCACTTATGTCGACACCCAGACTTTGTCCACAACCCAGATCATCTCCTGAGCTCTAGACACCTGCCTCCCCATGTCGCCTCAGATAACCAAAAGCAACTTCATATTGATCATTTCTAAAACTGAACACACCTTACCCCTGAAACTTGCTCTTCCTGCAGTGTTTGCTAGCTCGGTAAGTGGTAGGTGCCACCATCTCCCCAGTTGTCCAAGTCAGACACCCAGAGTCCCCCCCGAATTGCTCCCTTTCTTATACCCATGTCCAGTCTACCAGCAAACGCCATCCCCTCTTTCCCATGCCACAGCTGCCCTAGTTTAGGGCTCATCATCTCTCACTAGACCACTTCAGTGTAGGACCTTGCCAGTTTCCTGCCATGCGTCTCCCTCCCTAGGTGGTCCTCCACACACTGTTGGAGTCTTCTCCTACTACCTAATAGGCTTTGGGGCCAGGCTGTCTAAATTAGAACCCAAGGTCTACCCTTTACTGGCTATGTGATGCGGCATCATTCTTTATGTTGTAGTTTCCTCTTCTGAAAACTGGAGACCGGTAGTACCTACCTCCCAGGGTCTTGAGGACTGTGTAAGTTAAAATAGGTTAACTGGCTCTCTCATTAACTGGCACGTGGTAGACATTTTAATAGTTCCTATTACGGCACTGCTGTGTTAGACTTTACTTACTCAGAGTGGTCCATGGGCCAGTAGCATCAGTATCTCCTAGAAGCTTCTTAAGAGATTTTTGTCCCCACCCCAGACCTATGGAGTCAGAACTTACCTACATTTTGACAAGTACATTAATGTCTGAGAAGTTCTGGTTTAGTTGCTCATTAAATATTTCCGTGTAAAGAATGAGCTCCGTCCCTAGCAGAAGATGGAAGTTCCTTGTATGTGATCCCATTTCTCCCAGAGCCCTGTGTGGGTGCCTTTGCTGGGCTGTGTGCCCTCTTATCCACAAGAGGGCAGCATGGTCACTTGGTTTTCAGGGGCACTTGGGTCAGTTACTTGGGTTCACCAGGCAAAAGTCGTAATACCACATTTTAAGTGTTACCTAATTCACTTGATACACATCTCATTTCATCCTCGCACCAACCCTATGAGGTAGGTGCTGTTATGGTTCCTTTCACAGGTAGGCAGGCAGGTCCAAATTCATTCATCTTGAAAATGACAGTGTTGGAATTCAAATCTACGTAGTTTCCACATCACACTGCCTCCTGGCTGATACAAGGGACCCTGGGCAGAAGTCATCTTGGCCCAGATACCTGATTTAAAAGCACAGGAGGAGGATGACCAGGGACTATCCATCTTTATGCTTGATGGGTGGCGGCTGAGAATGAAATGGTGAGTTTTGCATTAGGTACCATGCTAGGCACATCTCCATTCATCTTTTGTACCCTTGTGAAGTATAGGCATCATTATCCCCAATTTAAAGACAAGGACACTGAAGGGCAGAGATGTGAAATGGCTCCCCGACAGCCATGACTAGGGTGGCAGCATCTTTGTCTTCTGATTCCAAGTCTACTGAGCATTCCATTACACCCCAGCAGAGAAGGGACCATTCATATGTTCACGTAACATTTTTAATGAGCATCTACTACATGCTGGCCATCACAGTGTCCTTGCAGAGCCTACAGGTCAGCATATATGAACTCAGGAAGAGAATAAAGGAGACCCCACGGCTCTTGTGTAAAGGATTGCCACAGAGCCAAAAGGAGAATGTTTGGGTCAAACCAAAGGCCATTCTCACACAGACACTAAAGAATGTCTAAGGGGAAAACCTTCCCCAGAAAGAAAGGTAGGCAAATTTTGGAGGCAGACAGATCTGATGGGGGAGAGGGAGAATCTTGAGATTGAGAGGACTCAGACAAAAGCATGAGGAGAGCAGGGCATGATTTTTTGGTGCCACACTCTTAACGTTCTTTTATAAGCCCTTACTCACTGATAAAGCAAACCTGAGTACCTACTGTGTGCCAGGCATCCAATGGATTTTAGAGACAGGTAAATAATGCCCTTAAAATGAACTCTCTGTCTGGAGAGGCAGTGATATTAATAGAAATAGGGACCACACTGTAAAATAGTTGGGGGTGGGGAACAACTGAACCTATTTGGAAAAAGACCAGTGAAGGTCTCACAAAAGAGGTAGCATTTGAATTGAGGCTTGAAGCATCACAAGGTGGAGGTGGAGAAGGAAGGGCAGTACATTGCAGGTAGAGGGAACAGTATAGACAAGCCCTGGAGACTTGAAAGTCAGCCCGAGAACTGGTGGGAAGATTCCTGTAGCTGGAGTATAGGATGTGACAGGAGAGGATCCAGGAGAGGAGGCAGAAATGAGGGTGTCAAGACCTTAAGTGACAAAAATGGGGAATTTTCAGAAGTTTAAACAGGGATGTGACAAGATCAGGTCTTTTTAAAAAGGAAAGTCACTTGGGTGACCTGTGTAGATGGATTGTTGGGTGCCGGACTAGAGGCCGGGAGATCAGTAAAGAGGCAGTTGTAGTTCTGGTCAAAGACAAGGTTGTACTCAACTAAGACAGTGGCCACAGAGACGAGAGAAGGGGATACTCTCCGTGTTTTGGAGGTGGAGTGAAGAAGACAGAACTAACTGGATTTGGAGAGTGAGGAGCCAAGGACCCTTAAGTTGGATTCAGGAGCCTATCTTCAGAACTGGGGGTAGGGAGGGAAGAGGTCAAGACTTTACCAGGCGAAAAGCAAGAAGAGAGCCTACAATAGCAGCAGAGAACGCAAAAGGCAGCCACACTCCCCCATGCACGAACAGTGCTCTGTTTGCAATCTTGGAGCCAACTCTTCTCCTGCCCCAGCTGGCCAGCCCATCAGCAGCCAGAATCAACATATTCTCCGTCTGGGCCCAGGGCTTCCTCGAGCTGGCTTCCTCTCCCAGCAGTTTGCTAGAAAACCCCAGCCGGTAGCCAGGCACAACATCGGAACCTGAGACTAGCCAAGCGGCTGGCCTCCTTCAGGTGGGTGGAGGGAACAGTTAACTGAGTGTTGGGGGAGAAAGTCTTTTCCTGGTGATCAATGAGGATGCCACTTAAGGATGACTAATCAAACTTAAGCTTCGAATAACTGACATGAGACGGTCTGTGCCACCTATAAAGCACATTTACAACCTTTGAGACCTCACAACTCCCCTGTGGAGTGGGTAGGGGAGGCAGATCACAGTGCCATCCTACAGATGAGGAAATGGCAGCTCTGGCAAGGAAAGTGATTTGCTCAAGGTCACACAGTGGCACGATCTGGGCTAGAGCTCAAGCCACCCGACTCCCAGACCAGTGGGTGCCTTTTCAGTCCCAAACCATACCTGAATGAGATGAGGGTGGGCAGGTTTGAAAGACTGAGACCTGGTGACAGGAGACACGCTCCAAGCGCAGTTTAGCCTCTTACCAGCTGGATGACCTTCGGCACATCACTTTTTTCAGAACTTCAGTTTCCTCACCCATTTAATCCACAGGGTATTGTGAGGGTTCAATGAGACCTACGCATATGAAGTGCAGTAAATGTGTGCTCCCTGGAGCAGTTGACGGGAAAAACAGTAAAGGCCCTGATGCTAAGGAGACGAGGGGATTAGTTCATCCAGACTGGCAATCCCAAATGGGAGGTGAAGCCAAGGCCAAAGCCGTTAGAGCTGAGGTCTGTTGGGTTCCTCTCCCTGCCCCCACTTGCTGGGGGTGCTCTCAAGCAGGATTAGTTGAACCTGGTGTGCACATGGGGCCTGAGTGCTACCTGGTACTGTGAACCTTCCTCTGGCCTGGAAATGTCCTCAAAATTTTTAACCAGTTTCAATTTTTATGATAAAAGATACATAACACAGTATTTCTCATTTAACCATGTGTAAGTGCACAGTTCAGTGGCTGATCACATTCGCAATGCCGTGGACCGTCACCACTGTCTATACCCAGAACGTTTTCATCGTCCCCAACGGGAGCCCCCTAACCATTAAACAGAACTCCCCCTCCCCCGGCTCCTGGGCGCCTCCCTTCTGCTTTCTGTCTGTGAACTGCCTGTTCTGGGCGCCTCACGTAAGTGGAATCATGTCTGGCTTATTCCACTGAGGATAATGCCTTCAAGGCCCATCCGTGATGTAGCGTGTATCAAAATTTCCTTCCTCTTTGTGGCCGAATAGCATCCACTGTGTATGTATCACAGTTCGTGCATCTGTCCATCTGCTGACGGACGCCTGGGTTGCTTCCACCCTTTGGCTATTGTGACTAATGCTGCTATGAATGTGGGTATACAGATGTCTGTTCAAGTGACTGTGTCCCATTCTTTTGGATATATACCACGGAGTGGAATTACTGGGTCATGTGATAGTTGTATATTTAATTTTCTGAGGAACTACCAAACTTTCCACAGGGGCTGCATGCACTATTTTACATTCCCACAAGCAATGCATGAGGGTTCCAATTTCTCCATATCCTTGCCAACACTTGTTATTTTCTGTTTTTTTAATTATAGCCATCCTAGTAAGGATGAAATAGTTCCTCATTTGCATTCCAAGATGCCAGTGTGGAGGGAGAATGAGTCGGGGTGACTCTGGGCAGAACAGCCACAGAGGGCTTTAGGGTCAAGCATGTGGGCTGATGCTGGCTGGCCCAGGTACTGAGGGATTGCTCTTCCTGTCCCCACCCCATAATCATAAGAGACAGAGGGACTAGGGCATCTGGAAAGGGAGGGAAGATCTCTAGCCCCAGACCCTGGAGGG